TAAAATGCCAAAAAAATATTGTTGGACCACAGCCAACAGGGGTGGTGGCACACCTACAATCCCAGCACTGGGGAGGCTGAGGCAGGAGGATTGCTGCAAGTTCGAGGCCAGCCTGGATACCATAGTGAAACCCAGCACACTGGCCACAGGACAGGGCAGGCCTCCCCGACCCCCACCAGCTGCCCTCAGCCCCAACTGCTTCCCCCAGCTCCCCAGGAGCAGGGACAGCGGCAACTCACAGCTTCTTCATGATCGTCTTCTCCCCCTTGCCAGGGTCGGGACTCCTGGCCCTGGTAACCACAGCCTCCTTAGCTCGTTCTCCTCCCACGCTTTCTCTCAGGGGCATCAGGCCACTGGGGAAGGAAGGCAAAGAAGTGGGTTGTTTTACTGCAGGTCTCATATCTCAGCTCCTCAGGAGGCTGAGGCAGGAGGACTGCAAGGAGAGGCCAGCTTGGGCAATTTAGCAAGACCCTGTCTCAAAATAAAAACCGAAAAGGGCCAAGGGTGCGGGTCAGCGGAAGACCGCTTGTGTACAAACACCAGACCTTGTGCTCAATCCCCTGCCCCAAAAATAAGCAAGGGAAAACTCGCTATTTTCCTTCCCTATCGTACACAAATAGAGCTCAGCAGTGGGAAGCCGCGATGTCTCCAGTCTCTCCCTCCGGCCCCCGCTCCCCGGCAGGCTCTGTGGTTCTCCTGCCGCTGGTGGTCACCGGGCACCTCACGTCTCCATGTCCCCTCTCCGTGACCTTCCTCACAGTGTGATGGTCTCAGGTGGCATTCACGGGCACAGAAACCGAAGTGTGAAGGCCTCTTACAGCCCCCACCTAGGCGGTCAGACATTACTCCTGTCCTACCCGCCAGTCAGAGCAAGGCAGGGCCAGCCCGACCAGAGACGAAAACACACTCCATTTTTTGTTTGTTTGTTTGTTTGCTTAGCAGTATTGGGAACTGAACCCAGGGCCTTTGCCCTGAGCTACATCGCCAGCCCAGTCTTACTCTCATTAAGAGGGTCTGGCTAGTCACTAAATTGCCCAGGCTGGGCTTAAACCCTCGACGTTCCTGCCTCAGCCTCCTGGGGTGGGCAATGACAGTCGTGCACTGTCAGGCCCGGCTCCCAGGCCTGATGATGCCTGATCTGCATTGGACAAGCAGGGCCTTTTACTGTCTCTGTTGTATTTGCTGGTGTGCCCTCAATACCCAGAAAGTGCCCAGCACATACTAGGTCTTCAGGAAATGAACTAAACAAATCTAGAAACGAGGAACCCAGTGAGGAAGGCAGGCCATGTCTGGCCGTTCAGGGGGAGCCCGCCTGGTGGCGGAACCCAGGCACCTCCTAAGCACCGCCTCCTGGATTGTTGAATGACTGAGTGACTGACTGCGGTGCTGGGCTCTAGCCCCGTCCACTACAGCGAGCCTGGTCTCCCACCTCCTGTAGCTCAGCAGCTCCTCCTGCGCCAGCAGCAGCTGTGCCTTGAGCATGTTGCGCTCCTGCAGCACCTCCTTCAGCTCCTGCAGTGTGAAGCGGGGCCGGTTGGGATCCGTGAGGTCCACCACCATCTTGTCGGGCCCCAGGTCCACCTGGAAGAGAGGGTGCCAATGAGATGGCTTCCCCATGCGGGGCTGCAGCCTGTACAGCCCAGGACAGAGAGCTCAGCTGCGTGGCCCCAGGGACGCAGGCAGCCGTGCAGATGGGAGGATGCTAAGAGAACAGAAAGTTCTAAGGGGTGTGTCCAAGAAAAGGGCCAGGTGATCCCAGCACTCGGGAGGCTGAGGCAGGAGGATTGCTGAGCATTCGAGGCCAGCCTGGGCTACAAAGTGAGTTCAAGGCCAGCCTAAACTGCATAGCAAAACACTGTCAAAAAACAAACAAAACAAAACAAATAATCCTCAGAACTGAAAATAAGTTAGTTAGTTAATTAATTAATTAGTTAAAAAAAGCAAGGACTCCAGATGTTTGCACACCCATATTCATAGCAGTACAACTCATGGCATCCAAAAGGTGGAAGCAAGCCAGGGTGGATCATGCACTGATATACAAACAGGACGCAGGGTGCACACCCAGTGGAATATTACAGGGCCTGAAAAAGGAAGGAGCTTCTGATGCATGCCAGAGCATGGGTGAACCTTGAGGATTTTACACTAAATCAAGTAAGTGTAATGCTAACCACTACTATGACTCCACTTCAAGAAGTACCTAGATGGGCTGGGGATACAGCTCAGTGGCACAAGTGCCTGCCTGGCAAGCGCAAGGTCCTGAGTTCGATTCCCAGTTCCAAAAAAAAAAAAAAAAAAAGAAGTACCTAGAATCGTATGGACAAAAAGTAAGCCAGGCACGGTGGAGCCTGCTTACAGTCCCCAGTGACTCTGGAGGCTGAGGCAGGAGAATCAACTGAGCCCAGAAGTTTGAGGCCAGCCTGGGCAATATAGCAAGACCCTGACTTTACTGACCAACAAGTTGCTCTTCTGAAAGACAGAGCAATTTTGCAGGCAACATTGAGAGAAAACACTTCGAGGAAGGAAGTAATTGAAGAACTGACACAGGAGCTGATTCACGCAGAAATTCAGAAAACTCCACTGCAAGCCAATTCTGTAACTGCTGGAAGCGCGGTGCAGGCCACACCAATGACTGTATCATCCGGCGCCAAAGGAAGGGTTCAAAAAAGAGGGAGGAGAAGAAAAGGTGAAAGAAAAAAACCGAAAAGGAGAAAAAGCAGCTGTCTGCAGCAGGAAGTGCTGAGTCTAAGCCAGCGGATGCTTCCCGTGTGGATCTTCAAGTTGGCTGCGCCCTTAACGCCGAAA